GACCCTGTGGCTGGGGAGGTTGGGAGGGCAGGGCCCACGGGACCCTGATGTGTTGAGGAGGCGGTGTAGCCATGGGCCCCATCAGGGCCCAGCCTGTGTCATGTGGGACGGCAAGGTGTAACTAGGAGTCTCAGATTAGATCCCAGAGGGCCCATTGCCCAGGAGTGGGGCCCTTGGGATTCGTAGCCCAGGAGCAGGACCAGGGGAGCCACCAGCAAAAGATTGGGACCACCGTCAGCGTCGAGTTTGTCGCTGGGGTTTGGTGTTGCAGGGCCCTTGCCAGGGAATGGCACCTTGAGGCCAACACTGGGGGAGGGAGTCTGGTGTAATCTTGCCCGGCGAAGGGGGCTGTTTCTCAGGCGAAGGCAAGGGGCAGTTGAGCTCCTGACTTTGCTCCTTCTCCTTTTCTTCCCCTCAGTTTTTCAGGGAGGGCATCCCGTATCTGAACGAGGAACAGGAATCGAGACTTCAAGGCCTTCTCGCTGCCGGATCCTGGACCCTGAGCAAGTAAGGAGGAGGGGCGTGGTCGGACATGGCTTGCCTGGGTCACGTTGTGAGGGAGCTGGTGGGTATAGTCTGTGAAAGGTCCCTCTGAGGGAGGAGGGCAGTTTGACTGAGAGGAGTGTCACATCATGCCCTTGCTCAAAGACCCTTTCCTGCCCCCACACTTGTGTTCCCTTCAGTGCACAGGCCTGGGGGTGGGGTGTTGTCCACACTCCGTCTCCTGGAGCTCGCCAAAATTGATGCATCAGAGTTGAGCGTTGGGGATTAGGGTGAGAGCGCCAGACTGTGTACTGCACCCGTTCCCAGTTCTGCACCAAAATCTAGGCCTTGTTTCCTTGCAGTACTCGTCACCACACCTAAGGGAGGGTCAGTACTGAGACATCACCGCAGTGTTGGAAGCTCAGTGCTGAGGGAGCGCTGCACCATCAAAGGGTCAGCACTGTGGGAGAGCCGCACTGTCGGCGGGCCGGCGCTGAGGGAGGCGCCGCCCTGTCGGCGGGCCAGCGCTGAGGGAGGCAATCCGATGATCAGACCCACCCTAGCTGACATGGTTTACGCATTGTGGGAGTGCCATTGTCAGGGATGCTGTCTACTGTCTAGGTATGACCCTAAAAGAGCCTCCTGTGTTTCTGACACTGGGCAAGGGATTCTCACCGTGTCCTGTACCAGGATTTATCACAAAACCAATGTCTCACAAACAGATGAGCTGCTCATTAGCATATTCCTGTTTATGGGATCTTGCTGTGGACTAATTTGCTGCTGCACGTTGAAATTGCAATAGAGAGAGATTGATGAAAGGAGACGCTGAGCTGTGGAATGCTTTGGGATGATCTGAGGTCTGGAAAATCTTTCTCCCGTTCCTGGAATAATTCCGGTCATGATGTTCTTGCAGCTCCACACTGAAGGATCTGCTGAAGGTGTTGATAGCTGATGTTTCGGAATGGGTTGTCCAGGCTCAAGAGGGAGATTCACTTACTCTGTCCAGCATTCCCGGTAAGCTCTGCATTTCCAACTCCACCTCCCTCTTCAGGGTCAGTAAAGGAGAAGGCCATTAGTCCAGATTTCTCTCTGCTGACCTCCTTCTAATCGCTCCCCACTGAGCTCCCATCATCGCCTCACCCACTGTCACTCAGTGGGGCAGTGCTGAGGGAGTGCCACACTGTCAGAGGGTCAGTGTTGAGTGATCTGGTTTCAGTAAATCAATCTGTTCTCTCTCTCTGCAGGTCTCCAGATTTTTGAGGTGCAGCTGGTGTTGAGGAGAGGCCTGGCCAATATCTGGACCGAGGTGAATGATCAGAGCGAGGTACAGCTTCCAGTCCCTGTCGGGTGATGGCGCTTGAAGCTGGGCTTTAATGGGAATGTGTATTCTTTCACTCCCTTTCTCTTGGTGGGCTACGGGGGAGTGATGACACGATGGCCTGCGTTGTGTGAGTGACAAGAGAAGTGTGTGGTGGGCGAGGGGTGGGGAGGGGTGCGTATGGAGTCATGTTGCTGATAGCGGATGTGTGGTGTGAAGGGGGAAAGGGAAGAGGGGCCTGTTGGCGATTGAATGCTGGGGAGTGTGTGTGGGGTCATGTTAGATGTGTTGGGGAGGAGATGTTGGGGGCACTGTGTTGATGGCAGTGTGCGAGAGGGGAACCTCTGTCCCTTTCATGTGCCACTTCTTCCTCTTTGTCGCCTTCTTTTGCATTCTCCCTTGCTTGCTCTCTGTTGCTCTCACTTGCCGTCTCCACTCCCCTTGCCTTCTCTCTTCCCCTTATCTCTCTCTTTCTCCCCTTCTCTTGACATCTTTTTCCTGTCTCTCTCTCTCTCCCTCCCTCCCTCCTACGCCTTCTCTCCCTCGCCTCGTTTTGAACTCTCCCTCACTGGATCTTTTTCTCTCTCCCTCATCTTCACTCTGTTTCTCCTTTGCTTTCCCATTTTTCCCCTCTCTTGACATCTTTTTCTTCGTCTCTTCTCTGCACCTTCTTTTGCATTCTTGCTCACTATATCTCGATCTGTCACTCTCTCTCTCTCTCTTCCCCTCCTCAAACCCTCTCCCTCTCCTTCATTGTCTGTCTCTCCCCCCTTGACACCTCTTTCTGTCCCTTTCTTGCCATCTCGTTCTATCTCCCTGACTTGCTTTCTCCTTCTCTCTTGCTCCTTCACGTCTCTGCTTCTCTCCCCCTCACCTATTTCTCCCTTGCTGTTCTTCTCTTTCTCACTCACTCTTCTGTTTCCATTCTCTTCTCCCTCACCCTTACTGTCACCATTTCTTTCACTGTCTCTGGATTGTTCTGCCTTGCTGTCTCACTCTCCCTCTCTGTGTGTCTCTCAGGTTGTTGTTCACAAGGTCAGTTATTCCAGACGGACACAGTTGGAGAACTCGGTCAGAGATGGTTGCCGTGTGGATCTGGTGCTGGAGGCTGTGCTGGGTTTTACCCGAGTCTTCCGTGACCTGGTCAAATCCAACAAGGTACGTGTCCTAATGTGTGAGAGAGATGCTCGTGATGTGGGAGCCAGCGTATTTGTATGGTAGGATGCAGAGAATCAAGATAAATGAAGTATTTTTGGATTGTCAAGAGATGACAGGGGTCAGTGATGGGGCCTCAACAGTTGACCATCGAAATTGATGAATTGGATAAAGGGACCAAAGGTCTGTTTGCTCAATTTACGGATGACATAATGACAGATTGGAAAGTAATTTGTGACAAAGGTATAACCGTTACAAAGGGATATGGAAGGTGTGTGAGTGGCCAAAAAGTTGGCAGATGGAGTATAGTGTGGGGAAAAATGTGAACTTTCCACTTTGAGAGGGAGAATAGAGAAAAACAGCTACTCTACTGTTTTAAACTGAAAGTAAAACTCTATCTACACTTTTAAACTCAAAGTGAAGAGCATTAACGTGGATAAGTTCCCAGGGCCTGATGGTATCTACCCGAGGATTTTTGGAGAAGCAAGAGAGGAAATTGATGAGGCCTTGACCAAAATTGTTGTATCTTCATTAGCCACTGGAGAGGTCCTGGAGGACTGGTGAGTAAGTAATGTTGTGCCTCTGTTCAAGAAAGGGAAATAGGGATAATCCAGGAAACTATATACCGGTGAGTCTCACATCAGTGGTTGGGAAGCTATTGGAGACAATTCTTCAGTGACGGGATTTACACGTTTTTGGAAAAGCATGGCCTAATTAGGGACAGTCAGCATGGTTTTTTGCGGGCAGGTCATGTCTTACTAACTTGATTGAATTTTTCGAGGAGGTAACAAAAGCGATCGATGAGGGTAGAGCAGTAGATGTTGTCTATGTCGATTTTAGTAAGGCTTTCGACATGACAGGTTTATCCAGAAGATTAAGATGCATGGAATCCATGGTGACTCGGGCGTGTGATTTCAGAGTTGGCTTGCCCATAGAAGGCAGAGGGTAGTGGTGGAAAGTTGTTTCTCAGGCTGGAGGTCTGTGACTTAGTGGTGTTCCGCAGGGATCCGTACTGGGATCTCTGCTGTTTGCGATGCATATAAATGACTTGGGTGAAAATGTAGATGGGTGGGTTCATAAGTTTACAGACGATGCAAAGCTCGGTGGAGTTGTCGATAGTGTAGAAGGTTGTCAAAAGATACAGCAGGACATAGATCACTTGCAGATATGGGTAGAGAAATGGCAGATGGATTTTCGTGTGGGTAATTGTGAGCTGCTACAGTTTGGGAAAACAAATGTTAAGGAAAAGTTAGGGTTAGGGTTAGGTTTTTCCTGCAACCGCAGGAAGTGCTACACCTGCCCCCATACCTCCTCCGTCACTCCCGTTCCAGGCCCCAAGAAGACTTTCCACATCAAGCAGATGTTCAC